CCATAAGATTAGTACCATGGAGCCTAGGTGTGTAGTGGGCTATACCATCAAGGTTTGTCTAAGTACACTCTACAATGTTTGCACAATGACAAAATCACCTAATGACGCATTTCTCAGCACGTATCCCCGTCATTAAATGACACATGACTGTATATGTTTTGGTAACAGAAGGCTTCAAAGAATATTAAATAATCATTACTCCCATTTGGCCAATGGATAAAAAGAACATCCTGATCCAATATACGATAATCATCGATCGCATTGCTATGGAAGCAGTGTACATACACGGTATGAAACAGCTAAGCGGTATTTTGAGAACTAAAACAGATGCCATTTCCAATTCAGATCTAAGAAGAAAAATTTGTATTTCAGAGAACAAAAGACTTTTCTCTTGTAAAATTAGTCGTAGTGGCTAATCTCTTGAAAATTTGTAAATGTACGACTGTGAAATATTTTACTCAACGTATTTAACTTGTCCATATACACTTGTTTCATGTGCAACACATGGATGTAGTTTCTGTCAGCAACGTTAAAAATCAGATTAGAAAAAAAAAGAAATCAAGTTTTGAAACAGAAACAGGCAGTAGAGAAATGTTATTCTAACCTTGGCACCAAGCTAAAGTCCTTCTTTGGCCAACTCTCCTGCACCATTCCTGGCATTCAATTTCCTTTCAATCTTTCATAGAGTTAGACTATTTACCCACCTGAAGAGTAGGAGTATTTACAATAATGACTGCAGATTATTCCATTCTCATACAGTAGTTATTTGTGTTTGTGGATATAAAGTGGTAATTCAGTATTTTGTCAAACCATGAGATTTTGAAAATACTGGGAATATCAGTCTGAAATTCAAAAGATTACATTTTCCAAACTCTGGAAGTTTTGTTTTAAGCAGGAAACATAATTGCTATAGAATTTCTTTTGAAATGTCCCTTGATTTTTAATAAAAATGATTTCACACATGCGGAAAATACAACACATCATCCTGTAACGACATCTTTACAGCTAGGTCCTAATCTGAAAGGTATTTGAACAACAACAAAAATCCCCTTTGATAAATTCCAAAACCTTATATTAATCATTACTGCTATGCAGTAATAATTCAAATCCCAACCTGAGAACTAAGAATATGATAGTAAGTACCAAAGTCTGTATCAATTTGGATCTGAACACACTTAACTTTCTCTCCATTAGCATCCGGCTTAGTACATCAGAGAAATTCGAACAGTCCCGGAAATTACCCTGAAATCAACAGTGCCACCTGCCACAGCTTGAAACCCTACACCTAAAATCTCTGTTCTAATTATTTTATAAACAACAAAACCTTCCTAATGAAACAGAGAAAAGCATGCCCACAACTATCTGAAGCTGAAGAATAAATGATTTCTTATGGTCATAGCCAATTACGAAGCAAGAACAAAAGATCACAACTTGAAGGAAAAAAAAGTCTCGAGCAAGTGTAATTCCTCAGCAATCAACTTCAGGCAGGTGAGCAGGTTTCTCCTGGGTGGAATTTGATGTTAATGCATTGTCAATAATTTTGAAGGGGAAACAAAATCAATGCAAACCTAAGTCATCAAGTTAAATCTTAATTTTTTTTAATGAAGCTGAAACAAACAAGCAAATATGAAGCTTAGTCTCCTTGATATTTCAACATAGTTTTTACCTTGTGCCATTTCACTGCAGAAATTGTTAATAAGTTTCAAAGGGGGAAAATACCAACCAAAGGAGCAAAGATGAGTTTATGCACCTGACTCTCTCTTCTTTACTTCTTCTCCCAAATCATCTTCTCCTGAAGCTTCCTGCTAAGGACAACACAGGGCCCTCATGACTGGAAGCAACTTTCAACCAACTTTCTTCTTCTGAGTCCTTTCCAACTTGTCTTTGCTTTCTCATTTCTTTCTATTCTCTGCTTCTCCTTTATGCTGTTTCTTTTTGTTTTTCTGATGCCCTCCGAGCAGGAAAGCATAAAAAGCTATCCATTTTGCCAGTCCTCAGAACCATTTTTCACGTTTCCCTCTCTGTCATCCCGCTTCATCATCATCCCTTAGATGAGCCGTCGCTCACGGTCTCCATCTCTGTTGCCAGCAGCCTCACCACTCCACGCCTCGTTCACAAGGACTTGCCCATGGCTCCTTCATCTTCATCTTTCCCGTCCTGAGTCTGCCCTGCAGAGCACTGGCTCACTTTTGTATGACTTTCCTCTGGCCAAGCGCATACGCTCACACCCCATTTCCTACTGTCCCAGATCTAAACTTCTCCAAGTGGCTTTTAAGACTCTCTCCTCCTGGGCGAGTCTCCCAGCAGGCAGAAGAAGGTAGGGATCAAGAAGGGATGGGATTCAGGAGAAGGGAGTTCTAGTCTTACTGACCACATGGCCTTGGGCTAACTATCTGATGTCTCTAAACCTCTGTTTCTTCACATGTAAACTGAAGATAATAGTACTAGCTGCCCCATAGGACTGTTTTAAGGTTTAAATAAGACACTAGGTGTAAAGAAAGGCTTGGCCTGGCACTTCACACATGGCAAGTGGTCCAGCTCAACCCCTAGCTGTTCCGTCTCCCTGACAATGTCCATCTTCCTCTCCAATCCTGACCCTTTTCTAGAAATGTTCCAATCATGAATGATGCTCTGGAAAGTCACTTTGCACCAGCTCAGCCCTCACTCGCCTCGCCCTCCTCTGAGCTCAGCTCTCAGTAATTCTCTAAGAGAAAACTTGCCCTGAAGGCAGAAACCTCAGATATCTCCTAGAACCCCAACAGGAGCCCAAGGCCAGCACATTCCACAGGCCTTTTGCCCCAACTACTGCACTCTATAAATTGGTTTTGCTTTTTTTTTTTAATTGCCTCCTAGAACTTTTCCTTTCTTTTTCCTTTTTTTTGAGGAAGATTAGCCCTGAGCTCACATCTGCTGCCAATCCTCCTCTTTCTGCTGAGGAAGACTGGCCCTGAGCTAACATCTGTGCCCATCTTCCTCTACTTTATATGTGGGACACCCACCACAGCATGGCTTGCCAGGCAGTGCCGTGTCCCCACCTGGGATCCGACCCGGCGAACTCTGGGCCGCCGAAGCGGAACATGCACACTTAACCACTGTGCCTCTGGGCTGGCCCCGAACTTTCCCTTTCTTGATTTTAAAAATCTATTTCCCTCCTCCTGTTCCCACAATGGATTCACTTCTTAAGGAATGAGTCTCAAGCTGAGGAAGAAGCAGGGAGAGGAAAATGATGGAAGTCAAAAATCCTTCCCAGGTCCCAGTTCTGTTATGACTGTCACATATTCTCAAGTTTGACCAAGCCTTATCCGTGTTTTGGCCCTAAAATCGGATTGCAGCCCAGGGTGGACACAACCAGAGAGGGAACAGAGGGCTGCATAAAAGAGAAGCAAAGAGAAAGGAGAGGGGAAGGGATGTGTTATAAATTATTTAGCGCTTTCCCCATATGACTTCCTGTGTTAATTCACTCAGAGTAATGCAATTATCGCAGGTATTTTGAAAAACATCCTTATTTCAAAATAAGGAAGCTGGGGTTTTAGAAATCACACTTGGTGTGCTTAGAGGCTAACGTTACAATACCCAGTGCATGATGCTCTGCAGGGTGGGGATTTCAACAGGGCCAACGTCCTGTGGCATCGCCTCAGCCCCGCCCCACTGTTTTGATTTTTAGCTTATAGTTAACTATTAGAAGAAGAAAAAACGCTGAAGAATTTCATAGCTTACTAAACAATGTTTATCGTTAGCCTTCAAATATATACGGTTGATTGAAACAGGAGAAGAAGGTCTTAAGACCTTTCTAGAAATTATTCGGAATTCCTACTTACTTTCTGAAGAGCTCAGACCTGCCTGAGCACAGGTGTGGCCAGCGAGGGTTAAAAGTAATTCTTTATCTTTGCCTCTCAAGCTAAGAACAGCCTGGAGGGCATTGGCATCAACAAACCAAAGAAATCTGAGATGCACAGAGGTAACTGATACAAGTTGGTGTGACTTGGCGTGCTTTTATGGAAATGAGAGGTATGCAGTGCAGGAGCAAAGAAATCTGGTTAGACAACTTCACTTACTTTGGATGAGTGATTGAAATACATCAGGCCTTGCAAGGGACAGGAAATTCAAGGAGATTAGGTCAGGGTGCCCAACAAACACAATCAGCGCCATTTAGGGGAGAGGAAACCCAGCCGCCACAGCCACGCTGTATAAGCGCCCCTCGCAAGCTTTGTCCCGGGGCCCTCACACATCTGCAGCAATATTTAGAGGTTGTTTTCAAACCTCAAAGTCTCTGATTGCTCTCCTAGCGTTGCACCAGACAAACGTTCCTCCCTTCTCGTAAGTTCCGCGATGTCCTTGTGCACCCTCTCCCCTAACAAACAGAAAGCCTCTCCCTTGTGTTTTCAAGGAATCGGTGACCAGCCCATTCTTGCTTTGGACAGCAGGAGTCCAAGCCAAATACGTTCTTTATCATTTTCAAAGTGGGTAGTTCAAAAATACCAGTTCCGTGTTAAAAAATTTTTTAAACCTTACAAGACCAAAAGATTAAAATACATGTAGTTTCAGGCTATCACCAATAGAAAGTGTACCCATTTCTTTATTCAAATACCTATATAGATCAGCTTGCCTTCTTGAAAAAGGCCTCATTGAAAGCTGCATAGGATCACTCGAATATTCTCTGTGTTAAAATCCACTCCACTTTCTCTAAAAGAGATAACTTCAGGTCTAAGAAAACTAAGACACCTAGTTAAGAAATCCCAGTGCATCTTAACTCCTGGGTTAACCTAACCTTAGCCACTGCAAACAAAGTTTTACAAATTAAGGAAAAAACTGTTTTATGTAATAAACTTTCGTTTTAAATGACAATAATTTCCACGTCTGGAAAAGCAGCTCCATATCAGGCACTCTGTAAACATTTGCTGATTGAATTCGAGGAGTGATGGCTCTTTGTATCAACTGTTCGTCTTGGCCTGTGTCAGATGCCTGAGTCCGTGGAGAGAAGGGACCCCTGGGATCCTCACCTGTCCTCGAAGCACACGGTGCACTTCCAGGCGTGGGTCCTCCTCAGGAACACCCGGCACTCAGAGCACACGCGGTGGCTGCAGCCATGGCACACTGCCCCCCGGTTCAGCAGGAACCCCAGCATCCGCTGGCAGCGGGCACAGGACTTCTGTTTGTACTCCTGGCTCACGCTCTTTGCGCCCTTCCACCGGAGACGCTGAAGGTGCGTCTTCAGTTTCCTGTGACCCAGAGAGTCAAATGATAAGATATGGCCGAACAGAAGGACAGATACCGGACATACTCCCACACGGCAAGGGCCTCAACAGTACCCCGTATGGCAAGAGAGAAGGGGCTTTGGCATCCAACACCCCCAGTTTCCAATATGGCTGTGTGAAGCAGGGATCTTACTCAACCTCTCGGAGCAGAGGCTCAGAGGTTTCCTCGACTGTGAAACAGAGATGAGAAAACCTTACCTCCCAGGGTTGCTATGAGGATTAAATGGCCAAACATAAACATTATGCCTGGCACAGAGGAGTTCACTGCTGATCTTTTCCAGGTTCATCCCTTTCTGCCCAAAAGGTGTTATAAAGGTAAGCAGGAATGGTGAGAGAAGAGGAAAAAACACAGAAAATGGCATCAATTCTAATATGCAAGGCATGGAAAGGTCTGTAGACATACAGCATACACACCTGCTGTTGTCGTAAGTTACCCGGTACAATTAGTTAACTGATGCTATGCTTTTGCTACTGTTTTTTATGGTTGGTCAGTACACTTCCAGTCTCTATTTTCCCCCAGACAATAGCCCTAGTACAAAGTGACATTGCATTGGATCCCAAAAAGGTGAACACTCTTTTATGAAATGTCTCTGTTGCCTACTTTTAGAAGAGAGGGGTCAATCCCAAGAAACTCGCTTACGTCCAGCTTTCAGGATTGCCCTAGAATCAGTACCCTTTGGAACGAAAGTTCCTTCCCACAGTAGCCATGTCACTTTGTTAATATTCAAAGTGATGTTTCTAAATCACTGAAAGATCCTTAATTATCAGAGAAAATTTAATTTTGTTCAGTGAATTATATTTTTTAATGGAAGAAAGTATAAGGACATTTAGAGAGCTTTGGGATGACGGGAGGATAAAAAAAGGATAGATAATAGGGGAGGATAGAACTGTGCCTTCCAGTTAACCAGAAAAGTTCTCTCATTGCTCAAGCATTTGGTTGTCCAAAATTTTATTTCATACTTGTATTTTTCTTGGCAGACTCTGAAAGAGTGCTACCATCAAAAACAAAACAAAATCAAAAAGCCTATTCCGTTTACTTTTTTTCTAGACCTCACATCGATAAACACAGCATCACCATATTTAAAGACGGATCTTTTTTTTTTTTTTTTTGAGGAAGATTAGCCATGAGCTAACATCTGCTGCCAATCCTCCTCTTTTTGCTGAGGTAGACTGGCCCTGAGCTCACATCCGTGCCCATCTTCCTCTATTTTATATGTGGGATGCCTACCACAGTATGGCTTGCCAAGTGGTGCCATGTCCATACCCGGGATCCAAACCAGCGGACGCCAGACCGCCAAAGCAGGACATGTGAATTTAACTGCTGCTCCACCAGGCCAGCCCCTGAAGACGGATCTTGACAGCTAACAGCGGACACTGTTTGATACAGTCCAGCACCGCCTTATTCAGTCTTAACTAATGTCAAGCAGCCTGTGCAGCTCAGAGACAGACAAGGAAAGAAGCTCCCTGTTGACAAATCGACCAAGGAACAGGCTGAGCCGGTTCATAGTCTGTGTTCCCCTTTCCTCAAAGCCGACTGGGGAAAAAAAGCAGGCCAAGAAAAAGACAGGAATGGATTCCAGCAGATCTGCTGTTTCTAAGCTGCTTTCTTTGTGCCTTTAGTTACCACCAAAAATAATTTAGGAAAACCCTTAGCTGGAGGTCTTTCCTTGAGGGGTATATTGGAAGCTTGAAAAGCTGCCTTGGAATTATTCCCACAAAGTAGGCAAATGGACATGCAGACAGACAGACAGCAAACTTATCACAAAAAGGCATTATTTTAAATGAATAACGAAAGCAGCCTTCCGTTTCCCTCATCATCTTCAAAGTTTAGTTAGACAGCAACGGTCATCTCCAGCCCTTCACGGGGACTCTTGTCAGACAAGAAGCTGAGAAGCAAGGCAAGCAGCAATAAGTATACAAGTAGCAACACGCCAAGCAGCAGCAGGTGCCGAGCAGAAGCAGCCAAAAACCCAAAGAATTCCACCCATTTGATAGCAACATACCGTATCCTCTCCTCCTCGATGTTTTGAACCGCCTGGTCTCGGTACAGGACCTGGAGAATCTCCTCGCGCTCTACCTCCTGGAGGGAATTCAGATTGACTTCTTGGGCCATGTCCTCTTTCTTCTCTTAGACCCAAGCTGAAGTTTTACTCCATGACCCAGCGCTCCCGTCCTGTGGATGAGCTCAGAGAGGCCAGCAGCAACCCCTCGTTCTCGACAGAGCTCCCTCTCCGATTTCAGTGGCAACTGTTCTGCTGGTGGCTCTTTTTTTCCTTTTTAACTGTGTCACACTCCCGGGAGAAGAAAGCCCCAAGAGGCTGTCCCTCTTCTTGGAGTTGTCGCTCCCAGTGCCTCACGCCCCCTGGGGAGCCTTTCCACAGGGTCCTGTCGCAGCCTCTGACATCCGTCTAAGATGAAAGCATATCTTTGTTCTGAGGTTTGGCCAGAGATTGTTATAAGTCATGCGTGGCTCCAAGCAGATAATTTCTGCAAAGCAGAAGTAATCCCTGTCTGAGGGAACTTACAAATAGCAACAAGAAGCGTATCAATGACTTCTAGAAGCTAACCTTCCCCTTCCAATGTTTTCAGGCCAGCAGTAATGATAACCGAAAGCCCAGCCAGTTCAATACCTATAGGAAAGACAGCAAATACAGCATCATGTTTCCTGGCCTGTGTATCTCTCTATCACTTCAGAAAAGACCAAATGTTCTACACAGACAGAACTCTGCATTTTCTGCCATGGTGATAATGTAATATTTTAAGTTTTGTTAAATTGGCTTTCTTGTGTCTCTGAACTTGGGTTTTTCTGATATGGATTCTCTATCTCCAGTGATTAGAGAGATAGAAAGATCTGTTTAATGGACATCATCATTGTTGAAAATATATTAGAAAAATGATGTTCTCAACTGTTAGCTATTATTTTTTAAATGAATTTCAAAACCCAGAAAAATTTTAATCAATTAGCAATGTCTGAAGGGACCACAACTCAGTCTATCCATTATTTCTGGGTTTTAACTGTTTCCAGGGGCTGCCTTACGCGTGGGGTCTTGTTTCTGTTTAATGCCAGTTGAAAGGTTCTGCGTACATTCTGCTACGTTCTTTTTCCATCAGCGATGTTGACACACATCACCGTCCATCTATTCCTCCCCCCAACTAAGAAGACGGCATTGAACTGATAATCCGCTGGAGAGATGCATATCAATGAAATGCAGAAAATGGAATCAATATACTTTCTATAATGCCATTTTGTTATCAAATCTACACGAATCCCTCAGTAATAGGACCCACTTTCAACGCTTTAGAAGTTAAACTCCCTTTGTTGGGCTTCAGCAGAAATTCACATTATATTAATTTCTGATCCACGGCAAATTAGTGAATGAGAGGTTAATAGAATCTTAAAGGATTCTTCTCTTTAAGCAGAGATTCTTAACCTGTTTTTCTTAATCTTTAGCAGTCTGGTGAAGCCTCCATATTCAAATGCATAAAACAAAATACATTGGGTTACAAAGGAAATCGATTATACTGAGATATTTCTACATTATAATATAGTAATAGATGTGTTCACTGATGCATGAAATAATAAACGTAGCAGTGGTCTAATGACTACCATAATTTCAAAGTGGTGATGCTTATAAACAATATTTTGGGATGTCTGTAACATACAACGTGGCCTGAAAATATCTGTGATTTCTCTTGGTAACAGTCACAAGTCCTGCTGGTTCTACTATGGTTTGATGTCTGTATTCATAATTGAAGGAGATGCTAAATTTTAGTTAGAGATTAATGATAATAGGTCATTTTGTTCACATCCGAGTTCATGGACCTACAGGTGAAGGACCCCTGGCATACAAGATTCTATATTTGTCAGTTTCTCTATTGTAAGATCAAGTACAAATAATTTGCTCATCCAAGTTGCGGAGGTTGCATGAGAAGCAGGAAAACTCAGAGCTGAAAGGGGACGGACGCTCTTGGCCTCTAGTCCTTGGTGCAGTGCTCATAAGTGCCTGCTCTCAAAAGGCTTCCCATATAGATGGTGGGAAAATGACAAAGTTGACAAGGACCTGGGGCTCTAGCCCAGCGCAGCTGGTAACTCACTGCGCCACCAGGGGCGAAGCCTCCTCCCTCGTCCGTCTGCAGTTTCCGGATGAACAGATGGAACTAGCACATCTTAGCCGCCCAAGCCTCTGCGTCTCTGGAAAAGAGAAAAGCAATATGCAACAGCGTGTAATCAAAGTGCTAAGTGGTAAGGCACAAACTGGCCATCAAGCCACCAACGTTATGAGCCTATTTCTTCTAAAGTTGCCCCTCGGTTCTTCCTTTTTTTTCCTTTTTCTTCCTAATCTAATCTAATCCTTTCATCTATTAACTATGCTACTGGGCCAATAACTATCTGGTTTGTCTGATTCTCGAGTATTTTAAATGAACATTTTTGCACGTGGCTCAAAACACACAATCTGTGCACTGAGCATTCTCTGCACGTGGCTTTCGGGCTCCACTCTCTGGCTCTGGTCTTCATCTCTTGGGTTAACTGGGACCAGAGTGGCCCTCGGCTGAAAATGACACCACCAAGCGGACGTACTGGGGGAATCCTGGAACGCTCGAATGCTCTCTCCTTCAGGTAGCTAGGTCTTACGCATTTCAGAAATACAGGATTCAATGTCATTTAAAAACACTGCTATGCTCTATCAATTCCATGCCTGTGGGCCTCGGAGTGCCCTTTTCCCAGATAAGTGGGAGCTCACCGTCCCCCTAGTGGCCATTCACTCCTGGTTACAGAAAAGTGAAATTCAGTTGTTTCTGGATCCATCCACCCATCCATTCATTCGGTAAATATTTATTGAGCACTTTCCAAGTGCCAGGCACTGCTTCAGTGCTTAGGGTGACGATTTGATTGACCGTAACTTACACCCTGTCCTGCGTCTAACAGGAATGTGATGCCACTTACAGTAAAAGCACAGGGAGGACAATTAAAGCCAGAGAGACATCAGCAGCCAGAGGGAAAACGGGAGGTCATTCTACCAGGAACCCGCAGGGAAGCAGTCACTGTACTTGGGCGTTAGCTGTGTTTCTGACTGCCTAGTAGCCAAGCGAAGCGAAACGGAAGGAAACCAAACGAGAATTCGAGGTGGCATATATCGTTCCAATAAACCGAAAGGAAACAAGGACATTCTCAAGGTGGAGAGGGCACAGACTGAGAAGATGATCAATTATTTGAGCAGCGGTTTGGCAAGAGGTGCAGAACTGGGCTTCATGCGTCCTTATTATATTGATCTCAAATTAAAGCTAAGGATGTAGCCACAAATTATCACTCACTGAACGTCTTTCAAATATAGACCAAACATGGTGCCTTCTGGTATTCCAAGTCGACACAGGGGTAAAGCTTAGAAAACTAGAGATATGGGCGTTCAACATCCATCCCACTGTGCTTTTATTCTCGACTGTCAGAGATTTTGATTCTAGCTTCTATAAACCTTCGGTCATTCAAAGACTTGGTTAATATCCACTACGAGTAAAGCCTTCTATTCTTGGATCGAAATGTACTTTTTTCTTTAACTTGGAATCTCTGTTTCCTGATCTTCTCTAAACAAGGGAGACTTTTTGAAATGATGCAAGTGGTGCGCCTAGAGTGTCACCCCAGGATTGTTCATGTCAAGATAGAATCAAAACCTAGGAAGGTGTTTTCTCTTTGGTTCCAGTGTCCTCCTAGTGTCCCAGCTGGCATAGCGGTTTGGACATCCCATTTCACACGTTTGAGCCACAGTTGATGCATCTCACTGGCGCTCATTCAGGATTTTCAGTGGGGCAGCACCACACTTTCATCTTTAGAAATTTGTGGGGTGTGTTTATGGTTGTCACGGTGACAATGAATTATCTTGCGTTCCCATATAAATGCTGACTATCTCACCAGACAATTCAATTAGGAAAAAAATCGTAATTATTCGATAACAGAATTTAACTCATATGAACACAAAGTGCATCTTGCAGCCTTTTAGTATCCTCCTGAGTTTTCTAGAATGCAACTATTGTGTAAATTGAAGGAAGGCTGTGCTGTGTTTCATTTAGAACTTTAGCAAGAATTGTTGATCATTTCAGAAGTCTGCGTCACTGAGGGCAATCTTGCTCGTAGTATTTGCATCACTAATGCCCTACGCTGGTGGCGGCTGCATTTTAGACGTCACGTGCAACACGACTCTACTCATGCAAACGTCCGACAACCTCCCTGTGGCTTCTAGTGTAGTTTACACATACGAGTACATATTATATTATTATAATTTACTGTCCCTTTGTTTCTCCTTCTATCACACTAGTGACATTGTATTATTCTTATTAGTGAAGGTAGGTTATATTATACATGAATTCTATCTCCAGATAGTAAAAGGTGAACTACAAAATATTTCCTATAAAGAGTGAGCTTTGGGTCTCACGGGTTTAAGAACCACTGAATTAGAGGATCCGATAATGTCGAAGGTCACTTACAAATTAAATTATGTCATTCTCCTGTTCATTTCTCAACATGTTATTGGATTTGTAGGAGAACGGGGGAGGGAACTGGAGAAGTGGTTGGCTGTTATTTTAAGTTGTGTGGGTTTTGATTTGGGGCCTTCCGTTTGGTTATGAGTTTGTTTGCATGTGCAATTTCCAGCCTGATTTCCAGGTTATAATTGAGGGCTCAGAGTCCCTCTTTTCATATAAATTATTTCAGCCGCGTCTTTTTGATCCTCTTGAACAGAATCTGGAGCTCTTTCTGTGCCTTATCCCTGGGAGGCCGGCATGTAAATTCTTACAAGTTTGCTATCAACTGACAGCTGGGAGGGTCCACTCTGTATTCCATCTTCCAAATCACTCAAAAATCATTCACCAAACTATTCTTAGCTCATAGGCTACTTAGCCAAGACAAGGTGCCCCAGACCCATGGCGACAATTTACTTATTTTTAAATTTTTTTTTTTTTTTTAGTGAATTTCTTCCTAGTCAATAGAGGTTCCTAGGGAGGCAGATGGAGTGAGTTAATAAGCAGCACAGACCCAGGGTAAATACCAAGAAAGTCAGAGATAATTCCATCCTCCCCGTGGCATTAGCAAGATAGGGTACACTTGGACAGATTACATTTCTGGCCATCTACCAGCTGGAAATTAGAAATCATGAGGGAATTGTTTTTTCTTTTTTTGGGAGGAAGATTGGCCCTGAGCTAACATCTGTTGCCAATCTTCCTCTTCCTTTTTTTTTCTCCCCAAAGCCCCAGTACATAGTTGTATATGCTAGTTGTAGGTCCTTCTAGTTCTGCTATGTGGGACGCTGCCTCAGTGTGGCTTCATGAGCGGTGTGTAGGTCTGCGCCCGGGATCCAAACAGGTGAATCCCAGGCTGCTGAAGCGGAGCATGCGCAGTTAATCACTATGCCACCGGGCCAGCCCCTGGAATATTTGTCATATTCTTAAAAATACGGATAAAACAAATATACCTTCTTTCTTGGATGCTTTGGATTTTTGTGACGTCTTAGAGTAGAAAATGGAGATTGTAAACGAGTTACATCAAATCTATTCAAATCAGTTTGCATGTTCCTTGCACTATGCTATGTGTTACTGTCTGGGGTGACAGAGTGAGGTGAGAGAATGGCACTTGTAACACTCACAAAGTGGGTAACAGGCTCAGCTGATGGGATCCAGAGCTGGCCGTACCCGTTAGCTTGCACGCAAATGGCTGCGGGCACCAACGGGAGCAGTTGTACCAGTATTAAAACTACCCAATGGATGGTAAGAGGAAGACCAGTGACAGGAGAGGACAGGAAAATCTTCACAGCAGAAGTGACTTCCACTGAGCCTGGGAAAAGAGGAGGTGGTCTAAGGAACAGGAAGAAGGAGGAGGGTGACATCTCTAGGCTGAGGGACAGTATATGCAACAATACTGAGGCAGGAATCTGTCATTCTGCCTTCAGTACGGGAGCCCAGGTTCTCAACCGCCTAAAATTCCAAAGCAGGACGAACACAGCATTCCTGACCCTCCCAGATCTGGTCTCTTCCTACGTCTCCATTCTCAATTCCCACAAAATGCTCCAACACTCCCATATTGAACATATTCGAGACTATTCCCTGAACACATCACTTGCTTTTCCTTTTCCGTGATCTCCTCCTGCTCTTCCTTCTGCCTACCGACATCTAACTTACTCAGAGGCAGTTGAGGGAGCAGCCAAGGAACAGGGATTGGAGCCTGACTGTGGGTGAATAGCTCCGCTCTGCCCTTTCCTAGCTATCGAGACGCAGGGCAAGTTACCTAAGCCCCTCTGGGACTCAGCTTCCTGCCTAGAAAGTGGAGAGAATTACACACCTACTTCCCAGAGCTTTTGTGAGGGTTAAAAGCGTTGACGCATAGAAGGTACTGAGACCAGAACGACAAGCATATAATAAGCAATCAATAAACTAATTATCATTCTTAGTCGTAGTAGAGCATCAATATTACTATTAATCTTTCAAGGTCCAGACTAATTGCTACCTAATCCGGGAGCTTTCTCCTTATTTACAATCAAAATTATGGCTCCGTCATCTATGACCCCTTTCTACTTGGTCCGTTTCTCTCCTGTGACCCTGACTCCATTTTGTCTTGCATCCGAGTGTCCCTTTTAGGGGTGACATCGTGTTTCACTCATCCCTCATCACCCAGCAAGCAGGTCCTGAATGTTTGGCTTGAGTTGAGAAACCCAGCGAATATTGTGACATGTGGTTTTCTTGCCCAAGCAGGAAGCGTTAATTCAAGTAGAGTCGGAAGGAAGGATAGTCAGGGGAGCGAGCGAGCGCTCGTTTGGCGTGCTTCGGTATCAGAAATCTGAAAAGCACAGGAATAGCTGAGTCAGTTCCAGATCTGAGCAGCATACTGAAACGTATTTTCTTGAACGACCTCATGCAGAAATTCACCATCTCAGAGCTTGAATGGTGAACTCTCCCAGATCCATTTCTCTCGGACGATATTTAGTCACTCTCTCTCTCTTTCACTCCACAAATTCTCACACTGTGTTCCTTTTGTCCAGACACTGGAGTCAGGCTCTGTCCTCACCCACGTGGAGCTGAGTGTAGCCCCTATCACCTTTTTCTATTGCATTTGTGTAACTTTGCAATAGTGACGGCTTCTGTTTGCCAATGCTCCGCCTACCAGCCTAATTTTATACAACCATTAAAAAATAAATCAGGGGCTGGCCCAGTGGCGCAGCGGTTAAGTGTGCACGTTCCACTTCTTGGCAGCCCGGGGTTTGCCAGTTTGGATCCCGGATGTGGACATGGCACTGCTTGGCACACCATGCTGTGGTAGGCATCCCACATATAAAGTAAAGGAAGATGGGCACGGATGTGAGCTCAGGGCCAGTCATCCTCAGCAAAAAAAGAGGAGGGCTGGCAGTAGTTAGCTCAGGGCTAATCTTCCTCAAAAAAAATAAAAATAAAAAATAAATAAAACCTATACCAGAGCATCACTCTGAAGCAAAAAGTCTCCCAAGGCCACTGAGAGAAGCACTCCACACCGAACCATCTCAGCATCAGCCTGTGAGTCAGACAATCTGGGATCAAACCCCAATTCCAGAATCATCTGGGTACAGCCCTGCAGCAATGGCTGGAACAAAGCAAGCAGGACTCAGAAGTATTCCTCTGCACTCTCCATCAGGAAGGCCCTAAAGCCCCAAAACCAAGCCATTTATCTGGGACTGTTAGGGACGCAGGCAGCAGGGGCAGAGACCGGCGGGTCCCCTCCTAAACGCAGCACAGCACTTCAATCCACGTATTTCCACTTTGTCTGCATCTAGTCATGCTGCATCCCAGTGGAACTTTGGCATCCAGACAAACAGTTTGATTATGGTATTTAGAGCATCCACTTGACAGCATTGATTTCATTGGCCTTCTGTGTGCCAAGCACGTGCCACGTATTGAGGATCTAAAATAAGTCAGAGCCAATCTCTGCATTCAAGCTCACATTCCAGCCAGAAAACGGACATGCGAACAGGTAAGTGATAACACAGTACGATGAGTATAAAAACCAAAGATCTACAGAGAAGCAGAATGCTCAGAGGAAGGCACGACTCACTCCGTACGGAGAGAGCAGAAATGGCTGGGGGGGTTGGGGAAGGCGTCCCAGGGGAGAAACATGTGGGACCACTTTGCCAGGAGAAACAAATAGCCGATCGTGTACTGGAATTTTGAAACAACGCTTGCTCGCTTTCCTCAGCCTGACAGCAAAGCTTGACTTCGGCTTTTAGATCTGACAAGGGGGAAAAGTACCAGGAATATCAAATTGAGGGCGAGAAGATAAAAGAAGGCCAGGAAAGGGAGCGCTCCTTATCTGCAGGCAGCAGTTCCCTATTCCTTTCATCCAATTATCCATCGTCTCTGAGCAGCGGGGCCTCAGATCAAAGGAAATGAAGCTTCACCACCTCTCTGCGATGGAGGGGATATGAGACCCGAGTGAAATGTGGCAAATTGCAGCTGCGTGCGTGCGTGTGAACGTGACCTCATTGCTACCCCGACTTTCAAGGGAAACTACAGAACGCTCTCAGAGGCTGGAAGCCGCAGCCTTGCCACGGCTCACAGAGTGGTCATTTCGGGGCAGGCAACCTGGCTGCTGTGAAGCTTTACCACAGCCATTTCCTTGAGAGGCTGCACAGCCTAGTACACAGGGGAAAAGCTGAGTGACTCACTGACCTTGAAGCGTTCCTTGAAAATGTCATCCTTCTTTTGCTTGTGTACATTCTTTATGGAAGCCTGTCCCAGCCACCAAGAACCCTGGTCCACCCAAGGAAGGAGATAGATAGAGAACAGCTCCTGTCTCCGTAGTTCCAACCCCCACGGGGCTCCGACTCGAGGACTAAACCTGACAGGTTTCGTTTTTTAAGGTGAGACGACATGCCTATGTGTTTGTCACAGAGTCTCACACCAAAATGGAGATGTGCGTTTATAGATTCCTTTTCTCTCGTTACTTAATTGGAGGTGCGTTTTCCAGGAAGCTAGTGAAGCACAAGCTTTGGCATCCCTCACCTGCACGGCCCCATCCAAGGCCGCGTACCTAGTTTTGTATTCATTTTCTTAAAGAAGTTATAAAGTTATATAAGCTGTGGGTCCCTCAAAACTCTGTCCTTTATTATATGTGAAGTTGCATGTATGTGGCTTAAATCTAGAAAACTTGAAGGGTGCCTGAGATAGGAGAAAGTGGAAAAAACACTTCATTCTGAAAGGTCACTGTGATTCACTGCTGGCTCTCTTTATTCTTTCTCATTCTGGTAGGCATCTGCTGCCAAAAAACCAAAGAACGCTATCGGAGAATCAGAGTAAAGCGCTGAAATAGAAATCATGGTTTTCGTGGCTCAAACCTGAGCTCTTCTTAGAAGAAAAGAGAATTCATATTATTCCATTGTTATAGGTACTACTCACAATTGTTGTTAGACTATTGTCCCAACCACTACTGTTTCTTTAGCACCTACCCTGGGTCAGTGTCTAAGTACTCTGCATGCATCATCTCAATCCTCATTACAACAGCCAACACAATGAAGTGCACCCATTCTACAGGCGAAGAGAGTGAGGCTGGAGCAATCAAGCAACTGACCTAAAGTCACACTCTAATCTGGGTCTAACTCCGAAGACTTATGCTTTGTTTAGGCAGAACAGTTAAAAAGTTAGAATTTCCCACAGTGTTGGCTGAATAATCTCTTTCTACACCAATTCTAACTTCTTAAAAGATCCCTAATATCTACAGGGCATTTCCCTCTCAGAATCTCTCCTCTTGCCAAGAAATTTGTTCGAGGTGGAGGAAGCATAATGGAAAGAAATTTAAATTAGGCCCTAGCTAACTTCATTTTTTTATTTTAGAATTATATTTATGTTCCACCTCCAAATTGGAGATTATGGGTAATCAAAACAAGATTCAGGGCCAAACGGGAATAAACTGTATGTATAAGAATTTATAACTCAAAGAAGAAAGCAAACAACACTC